CCCCCACCTCCTAGAACTAGGATCAAATCACAATGCTGAACTAAACCTAGGGCTTCAGGCATGCCAAGCAAACACCTGAGTGGCATAGCTACTCTGAGAGATCAAAGAACAAGCCAGGCTCCCCTGGGATCCATTCCCCAGGGCAAGATGTTAACAAGCCACAGAACACCAGGCATTCCGCATAGGACTCTGGCACAGAACACCAGGCATTCCGAATAGGACTCTCCAAATACTGTGCATATGAATACATATTTTAAGGTGCACTTGGCTCCTTTCCCCTCCCTTCCTTAGACATCTGTCCTAAACCACCAGGGGACAGATAAGAAAGGGGGTGAACAAGATGGGCATTTGAACCACTACATTTGGGACAGGGCACAAGCCCAGAGTGGGGCATGGAAGTCACACAGGTAAAGAAAACACAGCCCAGAGTGCAGACACAGGAAGGAAGAAATGGGCTCCCTAGGTCCCTAAACCTTACACCAGCTCCTATAAAAACAAAGGTAAAAGACAAAGATATGCAGTGCACTATGTTATTGTAATTCATTTCTCCATGGTCTAGATAGCCATACCTATAATCCTAGCACTTGGGATGTGGAGGCGGAGGATTGGGAGTTCAAGGTCACACTCAACCACAAACGGTTCTAGGCCAAACTAGAATATATAAGACCACCTCCGGGACTGGGGAGATGGGTCAGCCATTAAGAGCACTGGCTGCTCTTCGACAGCAACCACATGTCAGTTCACAACTGTCTGAAACACAAGTCCCAGGAGATCCGGGGGTACCAGGCACCCATGTTGGTACACATGCAGACAAAAGTCCCATACACATAAATAAAACTAAAATAAAATACAATAGATCTTAAAAATTAAAAAAATACCATCTCAAAAACACCAATTAAGAAAAGATAAAAGGTAAACGGAAGGTAAGTGGATATCACATTTACAATCTTTTCTGTTGTTGAGTTTTAAGATTTTGTATTGGGCTGATGAGATGTCTCAGTGGTCAAGAACAATGGCTGCTCTTGCACAGGACCAGAGTTCTAGTCTCAGCACCCACACAGTGGCTCACTACTGTCTGAAGCTCCAGTTCCAGAGGGGGTGATGATCTGTTTCAGCTTCCAAGGGCATCAGGAATGTATATGGTGCACATACATATATGCAGGCAAAACAGCCATACACATAAAAGCAAAACCAGCCAGCATTGATGGCAGAATCGACCAAGGGCCTCAAACCAGACCAATGCCTCAAACCAGACCAATGATTCTTTGCAGTGAATGCATGCATGTAAAAATGTATGGATAAAGGGGTTTACTGCCTGACTCGCTGTACAACACCACTTCCAAGACAAGATTTTCCCTTTTTCTCTTAAATTTTATTTTGTTTTATGGGGGCAAGACACAAAGAATAAATAAAGATAACCAGCTAATCTCAAAAAACTATGAAGTTGGGCCACAGCTTATGGGGGAAAGACATAGTCATCACCTTTGTAGAATGAAAACCAAGTGAATTTCCTGCCAGGGTGCTTGCTAGCATGGTTTGAGTCCTGGAGCACCCTTCTGAGACAAAGGGTGGCCCTTCAGAGCTACTCTGGCTTCATCCAATGGTTCCTTTGTGCTCCACCAAGATGACTCTGGGTTCCCAACGACCTCAACTGTGGATATATCCATCTGTTGTTAACAACGGTATCTGTCAAACTGTCCCATTTCCGCTCAACTAAGATCTTTTTGAAAATTTTCCATTAACAGAAACAGGCATAAAAAAAGATGCTACTAAAATGTCCCCAGCACATAATCCCCACTTTCCAGATGCCTCCAAAGATGCACGCACTTGAAAGGCAGTTTGTGCTGGCTAGCTTTATGTCAACTTGCCATTAGCTAGAGTCATCTGAGGTGGTGCCACCCCTGGGCTGGTGGGCCTGGGTTCTATAAGAAAGCAGGCTGAGCAAGCCATGGGGAACAAGCCAGTCAGCAGCACCCTCCCCGGCCTCTGCATCAGCTCCTGTCCCAGGGTTCCCACCCACTCTGAATCCTTTCCTGCCTTCCTTCAATGATACACAGTAATGAGAAGAGTAAAGGAAATAAACCCTTTTCTCCCCAACATGTTTTTAGTCATGGTGTTTCATCACAGCAATAGAAAACCTAACTAAGACAAAGCCACTGTCCACCACCCTCGTCTCGTGTGAGGTATCTTTAAAAACAGAAGTCATCAAACTGCCTTTGCATGTCATGCAAAACTAGGAAGGCACCTTGTCCACACCAGGTGAGCCCAGTTGTATGGACAAGTCCCCACTACAGTAAGTAGTTCAAAACATATTCCTTCATTCCACATCGGGAGGGCCTTCCATCTGCCTAGGCTACTTAGGGAACTAAAGAAAAGCCGTGTTTATGGACACCTACATCTAAAGGAAAAGTCAGAAAAGTCTAGAACATGAGGACAGAGCCTGGAGGAATGAACAAAGGTACCCAGCGTGGCAAACTACCCAGACTCAGACAGACCGATGGACCTCCATCTTCTAATATAATCAGAGAAGCCATATTGGAAAGTTTCACACAGCCAAATGCCATGCTGGGAAGCAACTTCCCTGGCAGAGTTCTCATTATAAAAATCAAGTTCAGGGTCACACAGATGGCTCGGTGGGTAAAGACACTTAGTGACATGCCAGACAAAGGGGGTCTTGAATCCTACGTGGCATATGGAGGCAAGAGAGCCAACTCTGGAAGCCGTACTCTGACCTCTAGAGGTGAGTAGTGGCACTCCCCCCCCCCCCCCAAACACACACAAGGTAGATAAGTAAATGCAACTTTCAAAATCTGGATTAAAGGCTGGATCCGCACTGAAGATCACTAGTTGCTCTTCCAGAGGACCTGAGTTCAATTCCCACAGGACAGCCAGAGCATCTGAAACACCAATGGGGGGATGCCCTCTTCTGGCCTCAATAGGCATTGCAGGCATATGGTACACACATGTGCCAGCAAAACAAGAACCTAAGTTTTTAAAAATAACATTGATTAATGAGTTCTACAATACTTCTGGTAATAACTACATTTTCTAAAATTTCTGTAGTAAAAATGTGTTTAAATGAAGTTAATTTCTTTTAAAAGTTAACAATGTTCACTAAAAAGATACTAAGCTGCCTTCAATCAGCAAAAACCACAAAAGTCATCAATTAAAGCAATTAATAGAGAGCACCTTTTCCTTAGTACATATGCAATCCATGTGATTTACTTTAGAGGTTTAGATTACAGCTGTTACTCCTAAGGATTGATGTCGGAGCAGGTAAGGACAACTACAAGAACAGTAAGAAAAACATAAATGGGGGCATGAGCACATTTTATTATTATTATTATTATTATATTATTATTATATTATTATTATTATATTATTATTCTAAATGACAGCCATTTCTGTCTACACTGTTACTTTTCAACAAATGAAAGGTGCTTTTAATGGCTTTTTGAGAAAAGATCTTACACAGCCCAGGCTAGCCTGGCACACAGCCAATGCTGGGATGAAAGTGTGTGCCAGTGCCCAGCCTGGACTTACAAATAAAGAAAGTAAAAATGAGCCGGGCATGGTGGTGTATGCCTTTAATACCAACACTCAAGAGGCAGAGGCAGAAGGATATCTACGAGTTCGAGGTCAGCCTGGTCTCCAGAACCAGTTCCAGGTCAGCCAGAGCTACACAGAGAAACCCTGTCTAGAAAACAACCAAAAAAGAAGTAAAAATGGTTTCACTGAATCTCCTGAAAGGAAAAGTGAAACTTAGGTAAATGTTTGGGTGGGGGGTGGAGGGGCTGGGACTGGAGAGGTAGATGGCTCAGAGGTTAAGAGGCTGCTCTTCCAGAGGACCTAAGTTCAATTCCCAGCAACCACATGGTGGCTCACAACCTTCTATATATAGTGAGATCTGGTGCCCTCTTCTGGTGTGCAAGCATGCATGCAGATAACTGTATACATAATAAATAAATAAAATCATTTAAAAATATTTGGGAGAGACTATGTTATACCCTCTACATGTGCACAGACACAGACCCACCCCACCCCAACACTGAGCCCCCATGTTCAAGGCTCTTCCAACCCTGTGTGTGCTCGGTCATTGATAAGGTTTACACTCCAGGGTCAGAGGGCAATGGCTAAAATGAATGAACCTGGTAGAGAAACTAGCTGTCAAGCATGCTTACCACTTTCCTTCCATTCAATAAAAACTCTAAACACTTAAAAGTCTAGACTATTTATTCAGAGAACAAGTCCCTTTTAAAGGGAAAAGAAGTAACCATGTATAATCACTTATAATTTCTCAAAATCAGCCCCCACAACTTTCTGAACTTAGTTAATATTGTACACTAAGTGCAGAGAAATCGACCAGAGGCTACAAGTATCCTTGCAGTATGCAAACCGCCTTCGGACAACAGTAGTTTCCCAATAATTATTTTACAAATGAAGACACTTAGGCACAAAGTGAATAATTTACCCAAAATGACACGAGTAAGAGGGTCCAGGATATGAAATAAACTATTATACAAAGTTAAATCATTAGCATTGGCTCGGTTACCTTTTTGCTACGTTTGAATTACAGATTTTCAAGTTTTCTTTCCAGGCAATATCTGAGCTAGTATCAGTAAGAAGAAAAGCGGTTTTAAGGGGGACATTTTTGTAAGCCATCTAAAGTTACTTTTGGCAGGCATGACACCACCGGCGCAGCTAACTTGGGGTATGGCTACGCGAATAGGGCAGTCAGTATATGACACACACATTCGGCCAGGCTTTTCTCTGGGGTTTGTTTACTTTGCAAACACAGAGCTACAAAGTGGAAAGAAAGAAAGAAAGCTCTAACCTTCCTGGCTTCCGCTTAAATGGGTAAGAAGACTGCAAAGAACCAGGCAGCAGAGATGTCTCCTCCCTTGGTTCTGGTCTCTGCCCACCAGGGCCCGTCCTAGGGGCGCCCCCGCTCCTCCCCGAGCACGCGACCGGGCGAAGGGGAGCAACCCGCCGGCCCTTACCGAATTCTGAGCCCCGACAATGTGCGCCCATGGTGAAAACCAGTCGACGACCAACTCTTGCGTTAGGCCGCCTTCCGCAGCGGCCTACCTCCTTCCTGCCAAGTGCCCGCCCCGAGCCACGCCCCGCTATAGCCACGCCCCTTCAGCCCAGCTTGCCCGCACCTTTTTCTCCAGGAAGCTCCAGGGCGGGCGTGGCGCCCAGCCAGGACATCACACCTATACTATACACCTATTCCAGTCCCTCCAGACCACACACACACACGTGACCTGAGCACATGCCTGCTCGCAGAAGTTTCCCCAGACCATTTAAAATGCTTGCCAATTGAGCTCAACAGTCTTATTTAGATACGTTACTGTAGAACTGTGGCAGTTCTAGAGTGGGCAGAGCTCTGCAACCTTGGACCTGAATTGTGGGCGTAGCCTTCACATGACTGCCAAGGCAGTCTATGCTCTTGAGTACACTGCGATTTCTAGTCCGGACTCAATAGATTAAGAGCAGCTAGGACGTGAGCCTGGGAAGACCTGGTCTCTCCTTCTGTTTCTGAGACAGGAGTTGCCCCTCTGTAACCAGGGGCTTTGATGAACCAGAGGCCCAGAAACTTAATGATCCTCCTGGCCCAGACTCCACACTGCTGGGAATACAGGGGGATGCCACCACATTCAACGAAAGACTTGGTCTCTTTCATTAAAAAAAAAAAAAAAAAAATTCATTTTTGTGTATACACGAATGCACGAATATACCACTTGTGTACAAGCAGCAGCAAAGCCAAGACAGGATTCTCTGGAGGAATTGGCAGTCATGAGCTGGGAAGCAAACCAGAGTCTTAGAAAAGAGCCTGGAGCCATCTCTCCAGCCCTGAAGGGATTATTTATTGTTAGTTCTGTAAATAATTGACTATGTGACCTAGGACACATTCTTGGCCTTTGTGAACTTCATTTTCCTTATCTGTAAGAGATGACCCTGGCAATTTCTTGGCTCCCTAAAATTAAGATTATGTGACATTGACATTTTCTTTGGCCTGGCTTCTCTGGGTCACTCCAGGCTTGGCACAGGGTGCTAGCCATCTAAGCTGTGTTCACACATGGAGTCAACTCTGCTCAGCTGACTATGGGTTTGTATAGCATGAATCGATTGCTCTAGGTGTTTGTTATCTGAAAGCATTTTCTTCTCAGGGGAATCTTGCCAGAGGGTATGCTGCAAGGAGCAATGTAGTAGTGGGGGCTCTAATGAGCTAAACCCATTCAAACTTCAATGCTACTTAATTAGATTTTAGGAATCTACTTATTGCAAAACGGGGTGACCAAAATTAAGTTGCCTTGCCAAGTTGTATAGCTTATACATACCTGAGGATGTGATAAATGGAAGCTATTAATGTGTCAACACAAGAACCCATACAATTATCCTAGCCACAATGACCAAGCAATCCTTACCTAATATTTAACTATAAATTCTGGACATAGATCTGTTCACAAACTCAGGTTCTTGTACCTCAACAGCACACCCTTTACTAAGCCAACTCTCCAAGAGGCCCCCACTTCTTTACTCCTAAGTTTCAGCCTCACTTCAATACTATTTTAGATAAGTGGCGTGTTGTCAAGGAATTATCTACCAGCACCCAAGCCAAATGACCCAAGCTCCATAGATAGCAAGGATGAGGACCAAGGGAAGGCAGGGGTGAGTAGACATGAAGGCACAAGTCCAAGGAAGATAAATGCGGGCAGCTCAGCCAGGGTGGTGCAAAGGGTGGAAATAGGGGGCAGGGAAAGGACAGACCCAGGTCAGCCCTCAGGAGAAGCACACAGCAGATGTGGGACTTAGAAGACACATGCAGGGCCATCCAAGCATTCTCATTTGAGCATCTGAGTTTTAAGTCACCAGAGAAACTAAGGAGAGATGGGGGACTGCAGATGTCTTCTAGCTGCTAGAAGGCAGAGGAAGCTTCTAGTATCTCCAGCCAGAATACAGCTTTGCAGCACCTTGACTTTATTCAAGTGACACATGCTTTAGTCACAGGACACTGTGATCTAGTACTATACATGTCAGTTCAAGCTACAAACTTGCTGCAAAAAAAGGAAGCCAATAGCACAAAACTAAGAAATGTCCTTAATTTATTAACTTCATAAACACCAAGCAACTTCCAATCCAAAAGACGAATGTATATTTTATTTAGGGTCAGACTCTCCATTTAATCCTTGATGCATTGACAATACTGGTACAGAGCAGAGGACCAGGCATGTTAACCATGGACAGGGGACAACACTGCCCTCACAGCCATGGACTCTGCCTGTGACATGCTTCCCATGGCTCTCCTGGGCCAGCACTTCCTGTAGCGTCTTCTTCTGGTTGTCACAAATCTGTCAAAACTTAACTTTTTTTCTTCTCAGCAAAGTATTAAAGGTCATTCAAAAGACAAATTATAAGAAAGCAAATTAACAGATGCTGATCATCTGCATTTCCAAATTACTAATTTAATCTCTTCATATTGTAAAAAGTAAATAAGCTACAAATATACTCAACTGATACAATTAGAAAGTTGACTTTTTCAATGATCCAAACTTAAAGGATATGATACAAAAAAGTCTAATACATCTTAAATATTGCAAGATTTCATAAAATCATGTGGATGTTCATACAAACACACAGATGTATAGTAGTTTTCAGAAGAATTAGCATTTTCAAGTTATTTTTCTGCTCTTTCTACTTGCTTTTCTTCTTAAGTAAGTAACATGCATATTTCAAGAGGAAAGAGAAGCAATTCTATCAATCTGGAAGGAAGTAAATGAACACCCAGGAAAATTTCAAGTTTATACAATTGAATTTCAAAATTAGGGCATGTTCAGCTCAGATCCTGTAACCAAACTGTCACTTGCTACACACTGCTGTGTATGATGAAGAAACTTTCTGGGTACTTCCAGTTTTAATACTCAAATGTATCAGAATTTCCCAAAGAAACAGAACATTATTTTGTTTTAGAGGCATTTTATTTAGATAACTAAAAAATATTAGATGTCCAGAAGCAGTCAGTGTACAATGAAAGAGATCAAACCAGTTACTTTATCATGTATTTCCTCTTCTTCACAACTAAGCAAAGAGAAAAAGACATTCTGCTTTAAGGGAAAAGTCAGAAAAATAGGCCAATATATTTTTCTTCTCCATAACATAAACAGCTACCAGAAACGTAAGTGTGAAATGGGAATTGTACGTTGGCATGTTCACTGAGACAGCAGGGCGTGGCACTCATTAGCAAAGCCCTCCCGCCTGCACCTCACACTCAGCCATTCTCACTCACAGGAAAACCGAGTAGTTGTTCGTGCACTGGAGCAAATTCATACTCCCCAATGTTTTCTGCCCTCTTTGCCACATGGAGAGAGTAACTCTGAAGGCTTGTTTAGTCCATAAACTATATGGTTTCTATGGCAAACATCTGATGCTCAGGCTTTAACTTCAGGAGTTGAAGAATACATGGAATCTGAATTCTCTGAAGTAATTTCTTCTGCAATTAAAAGACAAAACCATAGTCAATTTAACAAAGGGGAAAAGGTTCTATAGGGAGGAAATTAACAGAAAGGTGTTCTTGAAGCAGGCTGTGGTAAGGACAACAAACCAGAAAGCTACTGAACATGGCTTATCAACTGGACTCAGGACACCAAATACCCGAGCAGAGCTCAGACATACTCATCTACTGTCTTCACACCACAGTCAGAACCCCATACCTGTCCTTTCAGAAGCTTCGAATGACACCAACTACCCAATCAGCATTAACTAAAATCACGCCTTGCCAGTCCTGTCTTTTCCTTTAGTAATTAAATGTTAGTACTTAAGACAATGCAATTCAAAACCATAAACATTAATGCTTTTGGAGAGAAGTGTTCTAATAGCATGGGGGGGGGATATGGAAGCACCAGAGTCTGTGGGGAACACTCTGTTTCTCACTGTCCCAAGTCACTACACCTAAGACCCATCTTCCAATCTAACCATTGCCCATCCATTTTGCCAATCCTCCCAGTAAGGTCAAGTTCATCTACCTTCTTTTGTCCTGCACCTGTCCCATGGCTACAAAGCTGGACTTTCAATGTCCCTACTCTAATTCTTTCTCCACACTACTATTTTCTAAATTTATATTCCTCCACTTAAAATCAAAGGTTTTTCATTCTCCCAGTTTATAAAACACTCACAATTGTAAGAGAGCAAATAAGATACTGGATGGTCCAGTTTCCTCCCATCTCATTTGTAAGAGAGCAAATAAGATACTGGATGGTCTAGTTTCCTCCCATCTCATTTGTCCCCTACTCCTCAAACACAGTGAGATTCTTCACCCTTGCTTCTCTACCTTGGTATTCCTGTTTTCTGATCAATTCTTCTACCCTTCATCAATACCACGTCCTCCTTAAAACCTCACCTGTCCATCCATGGTCTCAACTAGTTTAAATGTTAATGCAATTATAAACTAAGTAATTTGTTAAGATATCACCTGTCTCCTAAGTTTATGAGAGTTACCCATCGGTCATGCACACAGGGTACACGAGACCTCGGACTCTGTAATTAATGCTTAGGCACTTGTGTGTAAGCTTCCTACAATTTAATTCAAATCTGTTCACAATTAATAAATTACTTTGCCACTGACCAAAACACACATACACTTAATTTTTACAACCGGAGAACTCTTAGAAAAAAGTGAAATTTGTATTTACCCAGCTCCTCTTCTGTTGTTTCTGGAAAACCGATCTTTGGCTTTGCCAGTTCAGCACTGTCTTCTTCTGTGAAGAGAAAAGCAGTGACGACTGACTAGGAAGCACAACAGGGTTGGTTCCTCGAACTCACACAGGGCAATTCCTCTTTTAAAAGTTACTGTGATTCCAAAACAGACATCTCAGAGTCACTTTCAAGTACTACAGCCACACTGGGATTAGTACTAAGTGTTTGAATTTTTGTTTCTGAGATGAAAAACATGTTTTCAGTGGGAAGGATCAAGTAATTTAATACTAAAAGGGAACTGGATAGATACTTGTAAATTCTTCATACTGTCTTCTAACAATTGTCATTCTATTTTTGTGTGTATCTGAGCCAGTAACCACTGGACTATCTCCCTAGTCTCTTTGTAATAAATTATGAGTTAAGTTCATTCAATTCATCACATAAAGGAGATTGCTCAATTAGAACATGGCTTCACTATGCTTATACCACATTACATAATTCAAAATCTAAGGGAAACAAGGCAGAATGAAGCAGAATTTAAAAATGACACAAATCTATGCATTATAATTTGATAACTTTGACTAAACGTCCTTACCAGGAAGCACGCATTTCCAAAGGCCATAGGTTTTTCCTACCACAGTTTGCCACAATCTCAATGTCCCATCTTCAGAACCACTGGCATAGAGCTCACCATCAGGACTGAATCTCACACAGTGAATGGGACCAAAGTGACCTTTGTAGGACTCTGAAAAAGGTAAGAACAGAGCTATCAGATCTCAACATAAAGCTAATTACTAGGCTAAGTATTGATTTACTAAAAGAGCACTGTCTATGTTCCTGGGAGACCATCTCACCACTTCCTTAGAATTAGCCCTTTCCAATCAGTATGTCAGAGACTGACTGTCTTTGAAAACAGAATAAGGTCTCCACTCCCAGAGAGAATTGAGGAGCTGTCAATAAGGACTAAGGTCTGTAGAGACTGGAGCTGAAGTCTGCCAACTCCATCCTGGGTTCTAGGTCCTGAATTCATCAATTGTTTTTAGAGGAACCAATTTCTTCCATGTCTGGTGAGAGCCACCAGGTGGAGCTCTTTTACATACTCTATCTTAACTCCCTAACCAGGCTTTCTAATTCTAATATAAGCCTGAGACACAGACTCAATCCTGACCCCTACATTTTAATGTAAGAAATTTTATGAGAAAATGTATAGGTTGGGAAGGTTTCCTATCTCAGTAAAACACTTTCGAACATCTCCCATATATAAACTAATGCCCCATCATTTTACTCTGGCATTTCCTCCATCTCAGACTAGCCAGAGATTAAGCGTGTAAAAACATAGGGGCTTAGGTAGAATACTTTCTATCATACACATAGAATACTTTCAATCCTCAGCCTGAGCTCCACCCAACCCAACCCAACTCCCCCAACCTGCCAAAATAAACCAAAGTTGTTTGAACAGAGACTGAGAAGAGAATGGCTGGGTCCAAAATGCACAGCTGTCCATTTCTTCCTCCACTTAGCACAGCCTGGGTTTCATTGCTGCCGGCCGAGTACCTCCTCCACCCCAACCCAGCCACAGCTCTCTAGAGCTGAGAAAAATGGAACATGTGACTGAAATATTCCAAAACTGACTAAAGCAACCCCAATCTACCAGTTTCCCCCAAGAAACAAACAAAGCTACTTCCTGTTCTTTATGTACAAATCTAGACAGCTTAGTTCCTCAGTGGAAACCAGAATAGTTTAATAAAGATAAGTGGCAGTTTATAAACAAAAAATAAGATTTTCAAACAAAAAGCAAATTAGACTTGGTAAATAGGCATAAAAGTCAGTACTAAAAAATCTTGCTCTTTCAAACTATCTGGCATACTATTACATACATTATAAAGTTAGGAAGTATTTCTTCAAATTAACATACATCAACCATTCTACTTCTTAAGAATTATTATGGCCAGCAGCAGTGCCACATGCCTTTAATCCCAGCACTCGGGAGGCAGAGGGAGAAAGGCAGATCTCTGTGAGTTCAAGGCCATATAGAGTAAGTGCCAGGACAGGCTCCAAAGCTACAGAGAAAATCCTGTCTCAAAACAAAAACAAACAAACAAAAAAAAAAACAAATATCCTTGTGCATGTTTAATATTTGACTTAAAACAGATACTCCCTCTCCCAATAGTCTGGAAAAAAAAAAAATCACTGTGCTATAATACAGAACATCAGCACAAAGAACAGTCAAAACCGAGTTCGGTATATTTTGCCTGTGAGTCTATAAATTTCTACAAAAATGGAAAAAACACCTTCATTTTTGAATATATGAGTTTTAATTAGCTGTAAAACTTACTTTCAGCACACTATAGGTCAGTATCTGAGGTACTCATTACTAGAAGTTAATATTTTGATAAAGTAATCTTTTAAGACAATGGTTTTCAACCTTCCTAATGCTGCAACCCTGCAATACAGCTCATGCTGTGGTGACCCCCCAACCATAAAATTTATTTTTGTTGCTACTTCAAAACTCTAGTTTTGCTACAGTTATAAATTGGAAGAATCTGTTTTCTGATGTTCTTAGGCGATGCCTGTGAAAAGGCCATTTGACAAAACCAGGAGTTGGACCAAGGCATTGAGAACCACTGATTTAAGGGACAAAAAAAAAGAAAGAAAAGAAAAAAAGACTTACCTAATTCTTCTCCACTGTTATAATCATACTTATAGAGTTTAAAGTCTTCTCCACCTGCAACAAGAAATTCCTTCTCAGGATGAAGAGATGCGGAATTGATGGTTGCAGGAGCTTCAAATGATTTAATTGGCTCCAGACTGGGAAGAAAAACCACAGAAACATAAATGCCTACAAAAATTTTAATACTATATAAATATCAACCCACATTAAAATTATTCCTAAATTCTGAAATGCAAGGAATAGTAGTTAAATATTCATCAATCAAGTGTAAATGAAGTGTTAAAAAATCAACATGAACAAAAATGTTCAAGATTGTCATATGCAAGTAGTCTTCACCTGAGGAACAGTTAGTGGGAATCCATAGGCTAAGCAGTGGACAGTTCCTGACTGACTTCAGTGACTTGCTAACAGACTCTATTAGGGACCTTTTATTGCTTCTGAGGCAGATTCTGTAGGAAGTTCAGAGTGGCCTTTAACTCCTTAGCTACTCACTGGGGCTGGGATTACAGGTACTAATGCCATGCCATGCTGGAAGATGGCTCAGGAATGGATCATGTGAGGAGAGTTCTGCATGCTTGTGAGAATACTCCAATAAAACAAGCGTCAGTCAGTTTCCTCAAAACACAAAAATTGTTCTTGGAGAGTGTTTTCGTGCTCCTCCCAAGTGCAGTGGATAGGAGCCACCTTACTTCAGATTATTCATTACTGCTTGCTGTTCTTACTCAATTAAATGTTTAAACTATCCCTTCATATGTCTCCAAGGAAAAACATGCTTTTGCTCCATGCAGCTTGTTCTTGTGATTTTATACAGCTTGAACTCATGAGAACTCTACTCATGTGACTTTTTTTAACCCCCAGTGTATATAAATTGTCTGAGACTCTCAATAATGTTGGCTATGCACAAAACTTTAGTCCACCTCATTTATGAGCTCCACGCTTCCAAATCCTACCATCCCTCTAGGGCAGTGACAATGCCAGATTAGGGTTTTTTTCCTTCTGAAAAATTTCAGTGTTTTCCACAAACACGCATTATTTTAATGAATATAAAATAAGGCCATATAGGCCAAGACAGTGATGCACATAACAGCTCAAGAGACTAAGAAAAAGGAATCCAGCCAGAGATACATATTGAAGGGCAGCCTTGAAACCCTGTCTCAAAAAACCCAAAGGCTGGGGACATAGGTCTTGATGTCCCTGGGTTGAATGGTCAACAGTGAAAAATGTAAATGAAAACATGAAGCAAGCTTCACAGTAGGGAAGTACCTACTATAATGCAAACTAATGCTAAATGGTTTCGACTGCTCAAAGTTCCCACCCCCAACACAAGAAACTGTTATCAAAACTGCTTTTTTAACCAGGGCATATGGTTTAAATGAGAATGACCCCATAAGCTTATATTTGAATGCTTCATTGCCACTTGGTGGACTATTGTGGTAAGGCTTAGCATTGTTAGAGAAGCTGTGTCACTGGAGGTGGGCTCTGAGGTTTCAAAAGCCTATGCTTTCTCAGCTGTTTTAGCACCATGCATGCCTACCTGCCTGCCTCCTGCCATGGACTCCCCCTCTGAAAAGCCCCCAATTAAATGCTGCCCTTTGTAAGTTGCCTTGGTCAAGGTACCTCTTCACAGCAATAGAAAAGTAACTTAGGTTGACTGCATTAGAAGCTGTACTTACCAATGAACAACTGCTTTCCCTGAAAAAAAAAAAAATCAACTATCGTTTCCTTATCAGCCCTTTTCAGTCAATCCTGTAAACTACTTCAACATAAAACATCAATCAACACCCGCTATACATAAAACATGAAAACTAAACTTAGCCAGGACATGGTGGTGTTGAGACTAATCTCACCCAGCACTTGGGATACAGAGGTAGGCAGCTCTCTTGAGTTTGAAGCAACTTTGGTCTACCTACAAAGAGAGTTCCATGACAACCAGGACTATACAAAGAAACTCTGTCTCAAAAAAAAAAAAAAAAAAAAAAAAAAAAAAAAAACAAAAAACTAAAGTTAGCTGTGGCATATCTAGCATCACAGACAACCACTTGTTTCAAATATTCAATAGGCTAAGCTACTACCAAATGAGATCTGACGCAAAAGTCTGTAGTAGTAGGATTGCATGGTCCAGGCATGAGCAGTTATAGATGTACAATCTGACAGTTCCGGGCAAAGGTAACCCACTATAAGTTTTCACCGTGTTTATAGGAGCTCCCTTATATTTTTACAACTGCCATGTTACTTCTTCTGTCTCCTAGTCAATGAAGCTGAACACTGGAAATATTCTTCGAGACCATATGCTAAGACCACTGTCAGTACAATTGGTCTAATCTTTACAGAAACCCTTTAAGTCCCAAGACTAAGAACGCTACTCTCGGAGTAGAGTTTTGCAGTTGAACTCAACACTGTACTTACAGAATTCCAGTACTGAGAACAAAGATGTACCACAACACTAGCTACAGTAATAAAGCAAAATACATAACCTAATGCAACTAAATGAAATACGGTCTGTGATCTTGTTTGTACAAAGATCAGACAGTGGAGTTTGCCACTAGCTAACCATAGAGGCCAGGAAATGGTGGTACCTGCCTTTAATCCCAGCACAAAGGAGGTAGAGACAGGAAGTGAGATGGCTGGGTGGAGAGAGGAATATAGGCGAGAGGAAACAGGAACTCGCTCTTTTCAGCTGAGAAGAAGTTGAGGTAAGGTGTAGCTTACTCCTTCATCTCTCTAATCTCTCAGAATTTCTCCCTATATCTGACTCCTGGTTTTTAAGACCAATTACAAGACCAGTTACAACTGCAAATAAATGTTTTCAATGGTGTTTAATGGACATGAAAATTTTTAGTTAAAAAGATTATATGCATCAGAATCCTAGCAATTTAAAGAAACCCAAGTATACACACACAGGAAGAGAAATGATCAGGTCTGCACCACTTCCTTGTTCTTAGATCCTAGAGATTCAAACCAAGGGTCTCAATCCATGCTAGAGAAGCCCTCTTACTGAGAAGCAACCCCAGGCCTCGTTTCTCTAAAATTTTAACCAGAAAATAGAAAAAGCAGTATCACAGCAATTTCCACATAGTTGGGAATATATAGCATCATGCCTATGGTTCTTTTAGTAAAAACAGAACTAAACTTACCAAAAAATATCCTACACAACTGGAATTTAAGCTAATACTTGATTAAAACAACTGTTAAGAGGTGTGGGAACACTTCCTGTGTGTTACACAACAACACATTGTATAAGCCTTCCATTTTTTAAATGATTTTACTTTTATGTATGTGTGTCAACCCATGTACTTGGGGTGCTGTGGAGGCCACTCCTGTGAGCCACCTGATGGTGCTGAGAACTGAACACAGGTCCTCTACGAGAAGAGCAATCATTGCTCTCATCAGCAGCTGAGCCAGCCCTCCAGTCCTTATTTTTCAAATAAGCTAATATTTCCTTTTACCCCAAAATAAAATGCAGGAATTTCCTGGACATACCTTACTGCACTATGAAAAGCAATAGTCCGCCCGTAAGTGAGAACCAGGACTTCTCCCTCAGGGATATACTCCATGCTGCTAACAGACATGTTAAAATTCACAGATTTCACTTCTGTCATTGTAGCATGATCCCAAAGACTGCAAAAGAAAGAAGTAATATTTATTCAGTGACCAGAAAAAAAGCTTCAATTTTATCTGTACATAAATCCATGAGAAAATAGCCACAACTGTAATAAAGTGATTTTTGTCAAAAATCATACAGGAATTCTGAGTTCCTATGAAACTAAGGAACTCCTAAGACTTGTTAGGCTGTTGGTGAAATCAATGTTTACCATAACTTTCCTAACAACAAAACTGTGTTATCTAACTCCTAGTCCTAGCTTAACTAATCTAATGGTTGTTTTGGTCTATCTGACAGCTACAATCTTTTCACAGAAAAATGCACCAGGTCTTAACACAGAGTTTTAAGGGCATGAAAACCTCACCCAATCTACCCATAACTACCCTCAGAACAACTGCATATCAGCTGCTTGAATGACATCTGAATCCACCCATGTGCATAACAGTAAATGCACAGCTGCAGGGATGTGACTTATATTGACTTCCAACTTACACACACTTTCCTATGTGATTATTACAAGTATTCGTAAGCTCCAAGGTAAAATGCTTTTCAAACATTAAATCACTGAAGAAAAATCAACTTACCGAACAGTCTTATCATCAGCTGAAAGGATCTGTTTATCCTCACTACACCACAGAGCCTTTTTGATGCCGGAAGTGTGACCACTAATCTCCTTAGGTTCTTTGGATGAAACAATTTAAAATGTATAATAAATATCTGGCTTTCTGAACTGAGCAATATGAAAACAACTGTTAATTTTACAACTACTTTCCAAACCCCAGCCCATTTCAAACTTGACGTCTACCAGATGCAAGATGCACTCAGGTCTCCTATACTGGAGAAGTAACTCATCTGCATGACAAAGAACGTTGTGAAGCTTAAACACACCCCCAAGTAGTTTTCTACACCAACTACTACATTCTAAAGTATCATCATACCACAACATACTACTAATGGACAACCAATGTCATGTTTCTTGGTAAGGACATGAGCCTAGGAGCAAGGGTGTACTAAAGCTAATCCTCCTATTAAATAACTCTGGGATCTTTTGTCCAAGTCACTGTTGGCAGTAACTAATGGGGCAAAACACACAGGCACACAAGCATCCACTTGCCGGGAAAGTAGAGCTGGTAGAAGGAGAAAAGGAAACTTTAAAGTAGCACAGCAATTCCCAGGAAAGAAACTTGTTTCATCGTTAAAATGGGGTGCTGTTACACACAGTCTGTGAGAATCAAATAAAAACACACTGGGGTGAGGAACACTATCTGACATACAGTCAAAGCTCCATTAATTGAAACCACTTCTACTGCTAATACACTGGAAAAGCAACCCTCAAAAACAGCTTTGGGAGGTGAAAATGAAAAAAGTCCACCCAACCCCTGAACTACCTTACCATATCAGACAAGTTCAACAATACTTTCATGTCTTAGTCTACCAAAAAGTAGGCAGAGAGAAAAAATGCATAGCAGATAATGGAAACAGTGATGAAAGTACAACTCATTGCTTCAGAAATGCTTTTCCAACTACAGAATAACTCCTTAACCACAATGTACTATTTTAAATTTAGTGTCAGTTTTGTAATTCATGAATAACCCTGCCTTCACCTACAGAATGTTTCTTCTGAACAACCAATACAGCTAAGCAGTTGAAACCTAGCCCTTACCATGTATACTCCTCTCCTAAAGGGGCCACGCCACACATTACCCAAAATTTAGCAACACTGCTCTGGTACCTTTCCAGAACCTAGTATCATGAAATGAAGAACCATCACCATAATGAAATTTAGCATTGCCAGAATGCCATATGAGTTATGCAATAAAATAAAACAGTATTAAAATGAAATCTGCATAGGAAAAAAAAAACTGACAAGATATATTGTGACAGCAATTAAGATTTTTAACAAAGGAGAAAAGATAATGAATGCTTCTTTCTGGTGATTATCTTAACTTTAAATGTTTATGGTTCTTTAGTCAGCTATTTAAAGGAAAAACAAAATCACAAAGTGATGCATAGTGCTTACCTGCCTCAGGTTTGTTCAAGTCATATATGCGCAGCAGTTTATCCTGCCCCCCGGTTAACAGGTAGTTGCTATCCTGAAAACAAAAAAGGAAAATGTTGTTAATTAAATATAATCACCAATAAAGACACAGTTGTAGCCAACTGCATGTAAGAGGGCACTATACACTTCTTAGAATTGCCAGTCAAGTTTCCCTCAAGCACACTTCACTATGCCTTAAGATCTGCCATTCTGCTGCTGCCCAATCCCCCCCCCCATACCCCAGGAACTGCCACTCTGCACCTCCTGAGTAGTCTTCTTTTCTCTCAAATGGACCCCAGGGTCTCATTCATGTGCTATGCAAGCAGTGTGCCCCACTGGACTACATCCCCAGGCAAAATTCCATTTCCTCACACCTGTGTGAAATCCACAGTCTTGACAATGTGCTTATGAGCCAAGGTCATCAATTCATCTCCTGAGACAGCATCCCACACTTTGCTAAAAATGAACATAAACAAATATTTATTAGTACAGGTTAAATATAATGGTAATTTTGATCAAAATAATTACATACACAATATTTATGCAACTGTATTATGAGTAGAACATTATCTCCCACAGTACTCATCATTACGATAATTTATCTAAAGGCGGCAACTTTTCAGAGGACTTTTTAACTCTTAATTCTCTTTGACAATGGAAAATAATTTATTCAAGATTCACAAATTAACCTAGCCCAACTTTTAGCTTACAACCATAATATTTCTTACCAGGCCTGAAGACTATTTTAACCAGTTCACCAAGTCATCCATTTATCACATACCAGAGAAAAATACACAGAACTTCCATGAATTTAAATTTTTACAACCTTAGACCTTGATACAGATCAGATAAAGTTTAAATCAAGAAGGCTAGATGTTGGTGGGTATAATCCCTACATTCATATTATGATGCTGAGGCTGGGGGATTACGCATTAAGTTAGCCTTAATTACATAGTGAGCTCTTTCTCAAAATACAGACATAAGTAGAACTAAAATAAAAACAAACAGCCATCCTCTCCAGTCTGAGCATATAAGGTTATGAGTATGCAGACGAAGTCCAGAGAATCCAGAGAGCCAGGGATGTTAAGGAGCAAGCAGGACTACACCAAGTACCAGGAACACAAAGCATTCTAAATGAACAGCATTAGTAAGATTTACACATGTAAGAAATAGGAACTGATGATACAGCATCTAAGTTCACACATTACATACTTGGAGTTCTATGAATGGCTGTAAAAACATGTCAAGAGAAATAACGTCACCTTATTTCTTATACCCTCTCCACTCTCTTCCACTCTGGTTTAACTCTCTGCCCCAACCCCCTTCTATTTCTGATTCCAGCCACCCAAGATAACGACATCCCAACCCATGCATTTTCTTCAGCTCCCACGCCCCTGCTGCATCTGTGTGCTCAAAGTCCTCTACATCCTCATTTCAAATGCTAATCTCATTCAATAATTACCCAGTTTTCTTTCTTTCTTTCTTTCTTTCTTTCTTTCTTTCTTTCTTTCTTTCTTTCTTTCTTCTTTTTTTGGTGGGGTGTGTGTGTCAGGATCTATGTAGTCCTGGTCTCCAGTTCAACACCCTCCTGCCTCGACTCCCAAGTACTGGAAAGGTGTGTGCCACCATGCAAGCATTTATTTCAGTTCTTCAGAGCTCAGCTTCCAAGGACCATGGCACTAGACTCTGCTTTGTTTTTGTTTATATGTGCTCATTCTTAGCCATGGAGAAAGGGTTATCTAGCTATGAGTTCACTTGGATTAGGAGGCATCAAACTGTCTACCCTAGTTTTTTAAATGTCAAAGAGAACTGGGTAATGTCCATCATCTTTTTTTTTGGTCTGAACAGGACTGAACACAGATCCTTCATGATAAGCAAGCTCTTTATCGCTGAGTTATACTCCATCTCTAATACCCTTTGAAATGTTAATTTCAGTATGTTAAATGCTCTCCCAAAACAAAATGTCACTGCGATGTAGACTACAAATTCACTGAAGACCAGAGTAAACTAACCAGAGCTAATAGCAAGCATGCTACTATGACTCTAAATTTGACAGACCATGAAACATGGGGTCAGATGTCAAAGTACCTGAGGTCACAGACACACTCAGTCAGGACTCAAATACAGGCCACCTGCCTGTGTTCACACACCTATTGTCAATTTAAGTGCAAATATCAGGGCCTAGAATGTTAGAAAAGCATCCACACTATTGTGATGGCTATTCTTGTTTGTCACCTTGACACATCTAGACTTAACTAAAACTCCAATGACTGGTCACACGCTATTTGAAGTGGCAAGACCAACTGAGACATCCAGCCTCATGGACAGACTGGATACTTGGAACTTCTGCTCAAAGGTGGCCACTGTTGGATTAGCTGATCACAGGCTGTGAGCCATTCAAAAAATACCCTTCATTTAGAGAGATTCATTCTATAAGTTCTGTTCCTCTAGAGAACCCAACTATATATAATACAACTATATATAGGCATGCATGTCCTCAAGCTTGTAGTTGTATTTAGTCAGCAATACTCCCAATGATCTAGACAAAGGGCCTGTAGCAGCAAGATAAAGCCTTGGCTATGTTCAGAATCAGCTCAATGTTGGGAGGGGGTTGGCCACACATTTTTTACTCCTGTTTTCTTTCCATTTTTCTCTCCATGAAACACTTCCCCCATGAACAGGACTCTTGAACACTTTTTATTTCTTTTCCTGAGGGCTAGCACAGAATTGGGTAAGATGTACAAAACAAGATTCATCATGGATTTCATTACTATACAGGATCCTCCCCCATAAATGCACAGAAAATCAGTATAAGACCATGAAGCAGTAAGGCCAGGTTATGGTAAAAGTTAACAGAAGAGTATCTTTAAACTGCAATCTAAAAGCTCATCTTTGAGAATGCTAATGTCCACAATATCCACACTTACAGCTATATTGTATTTAATTTAAATATAATTATAATGTAAATAACACAATGTAATATTTAATGCATAAGTATAAATATAATTAAATTATATTTAAAGTTTTACTTTATTAACCATTAGTTTACTGTCAAAATGTTGTGATCTAGTTACTACAATGAAATTCAGGGCTGGGGTGATTCTGTGTATTCCAGGCTTGCCTTGAACTTGTGATCCCTCCTGCCTCAATCTGCAGAGTACTGAGATCTCAGGCATGTGTCACCACACCAGGCCTACCTTCTAAGCAAGTTATGGTGGTATGCACCCATCAATCCTAGTTACTTGGGAAGCTGAAACAGGAGAACTGTAGATTTCCCACCACCTCAGCTATATAGTTGAAACCAGTTGGGCAACTTAGCAAAAATGACATTTAAAAGGGGCTAACTCAGTAGTACAGTGCTTGCCAAACAGCCTAGGTTCAATTTCCAGAGCTGAAAATAAAGCCCCTCCCCTCCTAAATACCTAAATCTAGAGCCATATAACACTGATTAAATATTCTACACCCATCATAAAAATCAATAAAAACTCATCCCCAACAGTATTCTTAATAAACTTGGTGAAAAACAAACTTTAATAGGAAAAAAGGAAACCTACAGCAATTACAGACTCAACTATTCAATAAATAAAAATCACAATCCATTCCCTGACCGTCTACTTTAGAAACTTTTTTCAAGTGACTTATTCAGCAAGTATAAAGCAGTATTTAGTGCTAGAAAGATGGGCTCAGAGGTTAACAGCACTGGCTGCTCTTCAAGAGGTCCCGAGTTCAATTCCCAGCAATCACATGTTGGCACGCAACCATCTGTAATGACATCCGGTGCCTGTTTTAATTTAAGGGGAGAGAGAGGGAGAGGGGGGAGGAGAGGGAGGGAGAGAGAGGGAGAGAGGGAGATAGAGGGAGGGAGGGGGGTGTTATTAGGGAAGGGGATATAAAAAGGGGAAAACCAGCCTCCAGAGACAGACAGGAGCAGCAGGAGAAAGGGCCCTATTAAGAGGGAACATGGTGAATATGCACACATGCACACATGGTGCTCTTAGTGGTTGCAGCTGAGGGCATATCCTGTCAGAACCCCAAGGACAGGCCAGTACAGATGCCTGAATACTAACAGTGCTCTCTTCTGGCTTACAGGGATACATGCAGGCAGAACACTGTATTCATAATAAATAAATCTTAAAAAAAAAAAAACAGTAAAATTTACATCAGGAATATAAAGGCTAGAGAGATTGCTCAGTGGTTAAGAGCACTGTCCACCTTCTGCCCTAACAGAGGGCCCACACTGAATTCCCAGCACTTACATGGCAGCTCACTATTGTCTGTACCTCCTGTTCCAAGTGATCTGACACCCTCACAGCCTCACAGACACACATGTAAGCAAAACACCAATGCACAAATCATAAAAAAATGAAAGGAAGGATAAAAACATGGCCCCTACCTTAAGAAGCACAGTAATTAAAACAAGTACTATATTAAGTGCTGTACGCCCTAACAAGGTGTGGCTCAAGCACAAACAAGACAAAGGGTACCTTCCCTTTCCCGTCCAACAGTCCACTGTAACTGTTCCACATCTGAGCATTATTCTTATTTCCCATCGTCACCTCACCAGACCGTGTTGTCAGGGCTGTGGATGTAGCCCAGATGGTAGATGCCTCCTTAGCTAGCACACATAAAACCCGGTGTGGTAGCACTCAGATCACCTGTGACACCTTAACTCAAATGAAGGAAGCTGACAACCATGCAAAGACATCTGGGCTATACAAACACAGTAAGTATGAAGCCAGCAGGGCTATAGAATAGTGCTTTATCTTTTGATATAATACGCAGGCTGATACCTCAAGCAACTTTGGGACTACGAACATTAACATAGAAGGATTTGTGGCAGTTTTTAAAATCAGATTTATGTAACATCCTAACAGGGCAGTGCAAAGTTTCACAATGGCTATACACAATGCTGCCACAGCAATTGATTCCTCAAAGGCACAGCAAAGTCCGTGCAACATTACTTGTCTCTTAAAACTCCATTAATTTTTAAATTTCATACAGTAAGATTCACTGTGCTGTATAGAAAGGTCTGGAACTCAACAAGGGCATATGGTAATATGTTAAAAGCTGTGTTCATTTTTTTTTAATTTAGTGTTTTAATTTGCTTAAATCAAAGGTGGCAACACAGTTTACAATTGCTCCTTAGTAAGAAATTCTTTTAAACAAGAAATCAACAGACCATTTCCACTCTCTAGCTCTTTGGGTCATCGAGGTGGCTCAGTAGACAAAAGATTCAAGCCTGACAGCTTGAACCTATACCCACCCCCCAAACTGTCTTCTGACCTCCACACACCCACCATGCACACTTGTACACCCACACATTTGCACAAGCAATAGCAAATAAAAAGGTGCCTTCATTGGTTTAAAAACAGGTGGCTACAAACACAGGTGTAGTAATATACAATAGAACACATGCCTGGAAAGAACACATACTCACTGTAAGTCAGTTTGATAATATACACAATACCCAAAGTAAAAACAGGTGAAGTGCATTGTGACAACGGTTTAGTACATCAAAGACTGTACCAAAAAGACAAAAGGAACTAGAATGAGGGGATTAATTAATGATTAGTGGTTCAAAGACTGCAGACATTACCTGAGTGAAAAAGACAGCACTTCATACCCAGACCAACCACACAGAACACATTTGAATAATATTTTTAAAGCTCTCCAGGTTACTCTCCTGTACACCCAAGGTGAAGAAGTAAAACTGTAAAGACCAAATCCTCAGAAGAGACATGATTTAATTGACTGAGTGGCAGCAATACAACAGAAATAACAGGAAATCCCTAGCAGTGTGGAGCTAAGGTGAGCCTGAACTAAGGCCCTGGGCAAACGCAAGAGACTACCAGTAGAATCAAAAATCAAATCAAAAATGAAGGTCTAAGGAAAGTCAAGCATCTTTCAGACTACAATCTAAAGCCATAGGAAACAATGTGTAAGTGTGAGGCCCAGTTTTACATGTATCCTGGTACTAAAAACTGACTAAAAAAGTATCTGGAGATAGCACACATAGCACTCAATTTAGAAACGTCTGTAAAGGGCCTCACCAACATCCATTATCCAGGCTACGTCAATAACCATAAAGATTTCTGGCCTCAACCAAAGGCATAGAGGCAAGTCATTTAAACCTTTCAAGTCTGGGGACTCAGTGATGACACTGGGCAGAGACAGCCAGGACGGAATCCTGGTGAGATCAAACATACGTTGTTCTCCATGGCACCAGCTGAGTCAGAACTGAAGATTCTGGCCACGTCACCACACAATTGGGAACAGAGTTAGCCATCTGTGTTGCACTTACGCCGTGAAATCTGCGGCTGCTGTGGCAGCTTTGGTGGCATCCTTATTCAACGTTGCACCCCAAACAGCACCTTTATGACCCAAAAACGTTCCAATCCAGTCTCCTGTATCTCCCTGTCGGAGCATAGGTTTGCCATCTAGAAAACATTTTAAGACACGTGATTTAGAAGCTGGCAGCATAACATCAAATACTGAACAGCAATTGGAAAACCGCTGCTGACTGTTACCGCTTACTCTCATCAGGCGCTGAGGGTCCCCATCATGAAGCACTGATCTGTGCGTCTGTGGTCTAGTGAACTAATGGATTCTGGTCACTCCTCTTGGGAAGTGTAAGTGATTTGGGGACTGGCTCAGAGGCCTCCCTCACCTTAGCAAACTCAAGAATACAAAACACTTGTCTGGAGAGAGGACCCGATTCTGATTCCCAGTGCCCCACATGGAGGCCGACAACCCCTTCTGACTCCAGCTCTCTTCTAAACTGTTTGGGCAACCCTTCACACATGTACAAGGAAGCACACACACAACACACTTGCCCACATGAATAGAAAACTTAAAAAAAAAAAAAAGCATAAGTCTGGAAGCCACTGACTTGTGTCAAAACAATCAAGATAGGCGTTCTGACTTTGAACCGACTTTAAACCTTGAGTGTATACTTTCCCCTGGGGGGGGGGGGGGATGAGGCCCATACCACAAAGAATGATACAATGAGATGAGCGCGAAGACATAAAAAAAAAGCACTCCTCTCGGCCTGGCCTCGTTTCTCCTTCCCAGTAAACCCTCGGGAGACGCCATGGAGTTCTGTGTGTTGACAGGCGCAGTCCCCCAATGAGCAATAAAAACGGGAGGCGAGGGGGGCGGTGAAGGCCATCCCCTCTCTCTCCCTCTTCCTCTCTCTGTCTTTCCCTCTCCCCGTCTCTCTCCCCCTCCCCTCCCTGTCTCCCTCTCTCTCCCTCTCTCCTCTCCCTCTCTGTCTCTCTCCCTCTCCTCTGTCTCTCCCCTGTCTCTCTCCCCCTCTCTCACCCCCTTCCTCTTTCCCCGTTTCCTCTCTCCCTCTTTTTCTCCTTCCTCCTTCTCTCTATCTTTCCCTCTCTCTCTCCCCCTCCCTCCCTCCTTCTCCCTCTCTTTCTGTCTCTCTCTCATTCTCCCTCTCTCCCGTCTCTCTCTCCCGTCTCTCTCTCCCCTTCCTTCCCTCTCCCTCTCTCTCCTCTCCCTCCCTCCCTCTCTCCCTCTCTCTCCTTCCTCCTCTCTCTCTCTCTCTCCTCCCTCTCTCCCTCTCTCTCTTTAGCTGGCAGG